ATGGTTTGCATATAGTTTTACCTTTTCTTTCTGTTGATAGATTCTTTTGCTGTACAGAATTTTTTTTGTTGTTGTTGTTGTTTTCCGGTACCAGGAATCAAATTCATGACCTTGTGCTTGCCAGGCAGACACTGTGCCACTGAGCTAAATCCCCAGCCCCTGTGCAGAAATTTTTTAGTTTGAAGTAATCCTGTTCTGCTTTTCTTCCACTTGCTTTTGGTGTTATAAAACCTTTCCCAGTGATTTCTTTTAGTTTATAGTTTTAGGTCATATGCTTAGGTTTTTGATCTGCTTTGTGTTAGGTTCTTTGACATGGTGTAAGGCGGAGTCCATCTTGCTCTGCGTTTCCTCTCACTATTGTTGAGGGGCCTGTCCTCCCTTGTTATCCAGCAACTTGTCAAAAGGCTGTGACAGTTAATGCAAGGGCTGCTTCTCAGGCTTTCTGTTCCATCCATCAGTCTGCCTGTTTGTCTTCCTGCCAGTACTGTGATATTTTTATTTATTGCTTATTTTTCTTTATTAGCCCTTTTTCCTGCTTTAAAAGATTTATTATGTTAATTTTTCATTTTGTTTTTAATTTATTATTTTCATTGTTTTTCTTTAACTGCAAAAAGTGCTCAAGTCTATACACATATCTAAAGGATTGTTTTCATTTCCCCGTAGTGTTTAGAGTTGAGGGGACTATATATTTCTCCTTTCTGGCTAATTTTTCAGTTCCATTACACTTATGGTCAAAGGATGTGTCCTGTGAGATTTTTTGTATTCAGCGAAGGTTTCTTTGTTCTTTAATATACACCTTTATTTTTTTTCTGTACTGGGAATTGAATTCACGACCTCACGCTTGCCAGGCAGGCACTGTGCCACTGAGCTAAAACCCTGGCCTACACACCATTTTTTGACTATTCACTGATTTTTTTTTTTTAAAAGCTTTTATTAGTCCATGCCTGCAGTGCATAATGATTATACTCATTGCAGGGAGTGGGTGTGTGTTTGTAGCATATCCTTCTTGGGTTTTTTTGGTTTTTGGTTTTTTGAAACAAGGTCTCACTGTGTAGTTCAGGCTGGCCTCAAATTCACTGTGTAGCCCAGGCTGACCTCAAACTCACAGCAGTCTTCCTACCTCAGCCTCCTGAGTGCTGGGATTACAGGTGTGCACCACCACACCTTGCTCACATTCTATTTCTTTTTATTTCCTTTTCCTTTCCCCTCCATGTTAAGTCATTGAGGCCAGGCATGGTGGTGCATGGTGACGAGGCTGAGGCCTGTCACAAACATCTGGACAGGATAGGGCAGCCACAGCATTCCTATTTTTGCTCTTCACTTTTTTGCAGTGTTTTTTGGTTTCTTCCTTTCTTTTTTTTTCTCTCCTCCCTCCCTCCCTTCCTTCCTTCTGTAGTTCTAAGGATCAAACCCAGGGGCACTCTACCGCTGAGTTGCAGTCCCCGTCCAGGTCTTGCTCATTTGCCCAGTTGGGACTCAAACTTGCCATCCCTCTGCCTCAGCCTCCCTCAGTGCTAGGATTACAGGTGTATGCCACTAAACCTGCCTTTTGATGGCTCTTGTAAACAGTATTTCCTGTACCTTTTTATCTAAATCAATTAGGAACTTTAGTGAATGTCAGTGGTTTACATTTAGTTTCCTTTCTTCCTTCCATAGTTGAAGACCCCATCCGTCACCGTGGGATCCCAACTTATTTGTAATGAAATATTTGCTAGTATTTGCAAACTTACAGCCTTCTATTACAGGTATTAGTGTAAAAATCCTACCTATATTAGAATTTTTAGCACCCCTCTGGTCCCTAGTTCTGATGAGTTGTGTTTTATTAAAGACAGAAATCTTAAAGGCTGTTTTTTAAAGTATCACATTTTTCTCCAAATAATGTCTTTTTTTAGCAACCAAATCTCTAAAAGTAAAAGAAAAAGAAGTGGAAATTGGATGTAGCTCCATCCCACCTTGTGGCAGCCTCTCCCCACCCTTTGGTCACTTGGGTGGGGGCAGAGCCTGCAGCTGCCTGACTTCGTCCTGGGGCTCCGCTGTAACATCCAGCACAGCACAGCCCAGAAGCTCTGGCTCCTGCACAGCATGGTAGTTTGTGCCATTTGGCTTGGCACACACAGTGCCGCAGGACCCAAGTGTTCTGCTTACCACCATCTCCTCTGCCATCTGAAACCTTCACTGGGTCTTTCTTCTCTTGATACGGAGTCTGGCTATGTTGCCCAGAGTGGTGGTCGCAAACTCCCAGCCTCCAGGGATCCTTTTGCCTCTGCCTCCTGAGTACTGGGACCCTAGGTGCCTGTCACGGTGCCTGGCTTTCTCCTCTGGGTCTCTCCCATGAGTTGAATTGGGAATGGAGCCACCTGCAGGATCTCACGGGGCTTCCTGGGGCAGAGCTCAGGATAGAGGTCAGGTGGGTCCTGCCTTGGCCTCCTGAGTGCTGGGATTGAGCTGGGTGTGATGCACACACCTGTAATCTCAGTACTTGGGAGGCTGGGTCAGGTGGGTCCTGATAGAGGTCAGGTGGGTCCTGGGAGGAGGCGCTGGGTGCTGGTGCATGTCCCTCCTGCTCTTCTGGGAACATAGACAAAACTGACCCATGCGTCCAAGGCTTTCCAGGACCCACTACGTATGCACTCTTCTGCTGTCTCCTGTCCACACACGCTCATGGCCACCCTAGCTCTCTCCTGACCTTGTGCTTAGGCCTCAGCTGTGCTCTTTAGCAAGGTCTTCTGGACATTCTGTTTTAAAGCCCTGTGTGTTTCCTTCTATGCAAACACACACACTGCTTGGTGAGCTCTGTGCCCAGACCCAAGGAGGTACTGACAAGGAGCAGTTGTGTGTGTGTGCGCTTATGTGTGTGCCTGTCTGCCCCAAAGCATGCAAGAGCCATGCAAGCTACCTGGTGAACTTAGAGGGTGAATTCACCCTCTCTTAAAAACCCTGGAGAGCACTGTGGAGGGCAGTACTCTCTGGGTGGCCAGGGCCAAGGCTGCTGGGCCGAACCCTGGCCATCTGTGCCCTGAGCAGGCCAGTTCTTGGGAAGGAAGCAGCTTCTCAGCCTTGGGAGGGGACCCTTGGGCACCTATGTGGGTGGAGAGGGGTGGGGCCCTCCGAAGCCTGTGGGCTACGAAGCCCTCTGGTCATTGGCCACACATGTGCAGCTCACTGAGCTGGTGTGTTTGCACAGATCCATGCCTCTACATCCCACGCTTTGCCCACCTGCTGGAGTTTGGGGAGAAGAACCACGAGGTGTCGATGACAGCCCTGAGGCTGCTGCAGCGTATGAAGAGAGACTGGATGCACACGGGCCGGCGGCCCTCAGGCCTCTGTGGAGCAGGTGCGGTAGGAGGCCCAGGCCTACCCCTGGGGTGGCAGCTTAGTTGCACAGTCCAGTTGGGTGCAGTGGCCGCTGTGGTTTTATTTTCTGAGCCAATCTTTGTCTTTGTGCTGCTGAGGATAGACCCAGGCCTCAGATGTGCTGAGCAGATACTGTATGACCAAGTTGCACCCCAGCAGTCATCTTTGACTTTGAGCAGCCAGACCTGTTGGCGTGGATTGTACCCTGAGGGAGGGCTGGCTGTAGAGCTGGCTTCTGTGCCCAGCACTGCCCCAGCCTACAGGGTCTTCAGCCCTCGAGGCCTTTCACCTGCTCCAGCCGAGATAAGAGACAAGGTCTCAGAGAATGAAGGTTGGCAGATGCCCTGACCTTAACCTCAGGCTGTCCATGCTTGGGGGGTTGCCCTCATGATATGCCAGGTTCTTGCTGCAGAAGGTGCTCCCTGACCCTTGCAGGGTAGTTGACCTGTTGCCCACAGATTTGCACTTGGCTCTTGGTGCTGGCCATGGTCTGGCTGACCATGGCTGGACTCTGCCCCCTGACCAAGGGGGGCCTCAACCTGGCAGGGCCCTGGCCTTTTCCAGCACCCAGTTTCCTCTCCTGCTGGAGTGGCAGGTGTTAATGCTCCAGGTGCGTGGCCCTCTCTGTCTGCTGTGGCCTTGGTTAGTATGTGACAAAAGTCACACCCTTGTTCTCCCCAGCCTGGGCCTCAGCTCCTGTCAGGCCCAGTGTCTTCCACCGGAGCTGTGCTGAAGTTAATTAGTGCCTGTTGACTGTGTTGTCAGAGGTCTATGAAGTCCTCAGAGTTTCTGCTTTTTTTTTTTGGTCTTTCTGAGACACAGTCTCACTACACAGTGCAGGCTGGTCTTCAACTCACTTGGTAGCCCAGACTGGTCTCAAACTCATAGTAATCCTCCTGCCTTGGCCTCCTGAGTGCTGGGATTGAGCTGGGTGTGATGCACACACCTGTAATCCCAGTACTTGGGAGGCTGTGGCAGGAAGATCACTGCAAATTTGAGGCTAACCTGGGCTACATGGTGAGTTCAAAACCAGTTTGAACTACATAGTGAAACCCTGTCTCAAAAAGACAACCCCCACTCCCAAAAAGAAAACAAGTCCTGGGATTATAGGCATGTGCCACCATGCCCGGCAGTTTCTGCTTTAATTCTCCTTTTATTTAAAAGTGAGAAGTGCTTCGGCCATGCCCCAAGGAGGCAGGGCTATCGCTGCCCTGGAGCATCTTTGCAGCTCATCTGCTTGGGGAAGGTGGGCTTCACCTGCCCCTCACTCTCCAGGTGAGGGTACCCGCTGCCTTGGCACAGACGTGTTGTGCCCCGTCAGTGACCCTCCAGGGCTGCTGCAGACTATCTGCTCAAGCACAGCCGAGGCTGTGTTCTGAGTACTCTTGTTCTTTCCTAGCCCTTCTGGTTGCAGCGAGGATGCATGATTTCCGGAGAACTGTCAAAGAGGTCATCAGCGTGGTCAAAGTGTGTGAATCCACGCTGCGGAAGAGGTGGGCACTGCCGTTCGTGGTGAGGTGCTTGCAGGCGAGACTGCTCTCAGCCACACACCCGCTCGTCCCAGCCCGGTTCCTGCTGGGTCAGATCGTGTGAGCAAAGTCTGTAGAGGTGCCTGACCTGCCTGCCTGGGCCCATTGTCCTGTGGGTGGTGTGGCCCATCCTTGACCTAGCCCAAGTGACCCATCTCCTCAGATGAGGGCCACCCTGCGTGTATACCCAGGGCACAACGAGGGGTGGCCACGGACATGCTGGCAGTTAATTTACAGTGTGTTGGGGTGACCATGGTGGTCACGTGTGGAGTTTCTCACAGAACAGTGGCCTCTGTCATGCCTCTCACAAGCCTCAGGCACTGGTGGCTGTGCTTCAGTTGAGGGTATCTACTATAGCAGTTTCCAGAGGTTGGTAGGGTTCTTTCACTTTGAATATTTGATCTCTAGGTCTTATTAAAAACTCCAGCCAGGTGTGGGGGGCGTATGCTTATAATCCCTCACTAGGAGGCTGAGGCAGGAGGTTCACCATGAGTTTGAGGCCAGCCTGGGCTACATAATGAGTTCAAGTCTACCCTGAACTACAAAGCAAGACCCTGTCTCCAAAAAACCCAAAAAAACCAAACTTCTCTATTAAGCATTTTGAAAGTGGTATAGAATGTCTCAGATTCAAGCACAAACCAGTCAGAGGGGTGCAGATTCCCCACTCCTGGGCCTGTGTGTGCCACTGCTGATAGGGTCAGTGGAGACTCTTATGTAGATGCAGCCATGTTTCACTCTGTGTAGACTCACAGAATTTGAAGACACCCCCACCAGCCAGCTGACCATCGACGAGTTCATGAAGATTGACCTGGAGGAGGAGTGCGACCCCCCCTCGTACACAGCTGGACAGAGGAAACTGCGGATGAAGCAGGTAGGACCAGTGTTGGCACACTGCCTTTGCTGCCCTGGCTAAGGAATGTCTGCCCATGGGCTCCCTTCTGCCTTGTGCGGAGGCCCCCAGCACTATCCACCCCAGGGCTCACCTCCAGTACCACCTCTGCAGCCTTGCATTGGGTCTGGTTTGCTCTACAAAGCCAGAGTGCAAAGTGGGCCAACCAACGACACATGCTTTGGTACGCCACAGGAATCTGAGAAAAGAGGGCACCTCTTGGGCCGCGGATTTAGCTCAGTGGCACAGTGCCTGCCTGGCAAGCGTGAGGTCATGAGTTCAATTCCTGGTACCAAAAAAAAAAAAGAAGGCACCTCTCTCCACCTCCAGCACAACCGCATCTCATCTCCCTCACCATCCTCTCATCGATGCTGCATGTGTTACACGCTCAGAGCCAGGTCTGCATTCCGCATAGGTGGCAGCGGAGGTACAAGGCCCACCCTGGCCACAGCCTCCTGTCAGGAGCACAGTGCCTGAGGAGAGCTCCACTCACCTCCCTGGTTGGGTTGGCACTGGGAGGTGAGGCGTCCAGCCTGGGACTTTCATCCCTGAGTGTCCCCTCTTCTTTTTCAGCTTGAACAGGTCCTGTCAAAACAACTGGAGGAAGTTGAAGGTAATCAACCAGCCTTGTCACATAAATGCTTCAGTTTTGTTAGAAAGTTTGCTTTGTACTTTCTGCTTTTGCCCACTTCATCCCCCTGTGGGGTTTTTTTGTTTTGTTTTATTTTGTTTTTTGGTCTTTTTGAGACAGTTTCACTGTGCAGTTCAGGCTGGCCTTGAACTCACGTTATAGTCCAAACTGGCCTCAAACACGTAGCAATGCTCCTGCTTAAGCCTCCCGAGTACTGGGATTATAGGTGTGCAACACCACATCTCTCCTTACTCTGTTTTTGACTGATTTTTCTAGGTGAAATATCCAGTTACCAGGATGCCATTGAGAATGAACTGGAGAATAGCCGGCCAAAGGCCAGGGGGGCTCTTGCCAACCTGTCAAAAGATGGTGAGTTCTGCCTGGCTTCGTCGGCCTTGTGTGCTCCAGCCTGGTGCCCCTCAGGTCTCCCCAGCGGCTGACCCTTGACCCCAGCCCTCCTGCCATCCCTTCCATACTAGTCCCACCCCAGGCTGGTGGTCACTTCCTGGTGGTAACATCCTGTGTTGAGCATCCAGTTGCTCCTAGCCACTTGTCAGCACCCACAGATGAACTTGTCAACCTGGCTCCAGCTGCATCCCTGGCTTCCCCAGGCCATCCTCCTGTTGGAGGCCTTGGCTGCCCTCCCGTGCCCTCGGGGTCAGTGTTCTCACTCCTGGCTCAGCCACTCAGGGCAGGAGAGACTCAGCCCTGACCTGGTGTCTGTGGATGCATGACTGGACTCCACAGCCTTCTTCCCTCCCTGCTCACCTTCACTGTCTCGGACTGCATTTGGGCTGTGAACACTGGCTGTAGGGCTCAGCCTATACCTGGGCCTTTTGGAGGTACTGCAGTACTCATGTGCTGGGCAAAGCTCTCTTCTGGGCTGTGTGAAAAGGAAGGAGTACTGCTGCTGTCCTTTGTGCTCTGGTGTGTACACATCTGCTCTGGGCCCAGTGAGCTGTGCCGCACATTGTCTCTGCCTAAGCTTTGGGTTCAGGGTGTGGCTGGGGCCATCTGAAAGCAGGCTCCCTTCCCCATTGGACCCTCGGCTCCATGTTCCAGAGCCCTGTGGACAGCGCAAGCCTGCTGCCTTCTCTATGGTCACAAGTTGTATCTCCCTCCTCTTGTTTCCTCCACTGCTTGCTGCTTGCAAATGATGGTGATTTCTATGCACTGATTTTCTGCTCCTGTGTTAGGAGTTCTATTGTCACTTTCAGTAGTTTTCGTTTATGGTTGGAGTTTCTGAACATCCTGGATTTCTGTCTGAGTCTGGTCACTGCTTGGCCCTGCAGCACCTCACTGAACCTCAGAGGTGGCAGCAGTCATATCTCAAGCCCAGCTCCTGGGGACCAGGGTGTATGCTTTGGGAGCAACACTCCTCGTCTGTCCTGGTGAGGAAATGCCCACCCGTGTGTTTCCATTGAGTGTCCCAGGTGTCCTCAGGGTCAGTGGAGACCATGGGGCTTTCTCTTTAATGGATGAATGTAATCCATGCAGTCTGTCTCCTTGACAGTACCCCTTCAGGCCTGCCCTCGTTCCTGGGAGGCACTGTTAGGCTTCAGAGGTCATCCTGGGAGTCCCTCCCTGGGGTTCCCATCCTATGGAATCTTAAGATACTTCTGATTCTTTTGTTTTGGATATTCTTTCTTACTGTTTTTAATTTTACATAGTTTTATTTTCTGATTTTTTTTTTTTTCCCAGCTAGGTTGATTATCCATTCAGTGAGCATTCACATTTACTTGTAAGTTCTTCTGTCTTCCTGGATGCTGTGTCTTTACGGTCACTCTTTCCTCCCTACTTGCACTGCCCTCTACAGCAGTGCTTCCCTCCAGGGGGTGTTGTCCTCCTCAGAAATGTGAAATTGTTTTCTAGTCTCAGCTGGCTTTTTCTGCAGCATGAAGGAGACTGACAGTCCTGGGGATAGTATCTTCTGACTTGGTCGTTATATATTTTTTTCTTTTCCTGTTTTTTTTTTTTTTGTTGTTGTTGTTTTGTTTTTTTTAAGATGGGGTCTCACTTTGTAGTTCAGATTGGCCTCAAAGTCACTATGTAACCCAGGCTGGCCTCGAACTTGCAGTGATCCTCCTACCTCGGCTTGCCGAGTACTCTCAGACACCCGGTGTTAGCTTCCACTTTGCTGTGAACGTAACCGGGTGTGTTGCTGCTGCTTCTCCTCAGTGTGGCTCCAGCTGCAGCAGTGCCTGTGGGCACCAGGCAGGAAGTGCTCTGTGTCCAGGGTGGGCAGGCAGGCAGGCTGGGTCTGTGCTGGCTTTCACTGTCCTAGCACATCGCTCAGGTCTGCCTTAGGCTGCTTCCTTCAGATCTCTGGTCTTTGCTTTCTTCCACCCAGTTACCTTGTACACAGTGGTGGCTGGTGGATGATGCCCGGTGGCCAGTGCCCTTTTTAGTACTCCTGAGGGTGTCACTAACTGCTCCCTCAGACCAGCTGGCCCACCTGTCAGGGTGAAGGCAGTCCCAAGCTCCACTCTGCCCCTACTGTCACTCTTCGTCATGCTGCCTGCTAGGGGCCATTCTTACACAGCAGAGATCTAGCTTGGCTGTCTGCTCTAGTCTGAAGAGCTTTTTACTTTACTAGCTGAAGGAAGCTCATTTTAGTAGCATTTTTGCATGGAGTTCTCTAAACCATAGTCTTGTGTCTCTGTTAGTAGTTTCCTGTATGTAATTTCATTCCACTCTCTTTGGGGCCGTACTGTATCTCTTCACACCTGCCCCAATCATGACAGAACAGGTGTGTTTCTCCTTCCCATTTCCTGCCTGTTGTCAGGCTGTTCCGTCTGCTGCCAATGGGAACCTGGAGTGGCAGTGGGAGAATGGAGGCTGTGGGCCTAGTGCTTGGCTCAGGTGGGGAAGGCTGTGGGTAGGACTGAGGTTCTTAGGCCAGTGGGAGCCACACAGGGCTTGGGAACAGAGGCAGGGTGGGGAGGGGGCTGCCACAGGGTGGAGGAGGTAGGCTCCTCAGGTACTGTGTTAGCACGTGAAGGCTTCTCCCAGGACCTACGCCAGCTTATCTTGAGGGGAACTTTGTACAACAACCCAGGCCCCTGTGGGTTACACTTGACTGTGTTGGGCCATCACATGTAAGTACCTGCTTGCCCCAGGAAGGCATCTGTGCAGACCGGTACCCTCCTGGCGCATACAGTGCTGGGCCTGAGCTCTCACTAGAACATACTTAGCAACTAAAGCAGAGTGAAGTGTTTTCAAATGTGTCTTTTAAGTAAGTTTAGCATGCAGTGATTTCTTAGGCATTTTGAAGGATGATCAGCACACGGTAAACCATCCTTATTTAAAGTGAGCCCTTTGGTTTTTGAGTTTTGATGAGTGCGTACAGCACCTGTGAAGCCAGCATCGTGTCAGGCCACTCGCAGACGTGTCACTGCCAAGTCCTCGTGCGTTTCACAGTGCCCCCACCTGGCCTCAGGCTGCCCCCTGGTGCCTTCTGTGCCTAAGTAGTTGTGTTTCTAGACTTCTGTGCTGAAGTCTTTCGTATACATAGCTTGCACTCGTTTATCCTCTGGCTTTGAGTCATCTGTCAACCATTTATGGCTTTTTATTGTGGTGTAACAGACCATGAATGTACTGAGGTTGCTTCTCCATTTATCTGTTGAAGGGCCTTTGGGGTACTTCCTGTTTTGGGTCTTACAGATACTGTGAACACTTGTGTGCAATCTGTGGACATTAATTAATTTCTTTTGTCTTGAGCAAGGGGCAGAATTGTGGGGTCTTGTGGAAAGTGGTGCTTAAGCTTCAAAGAACCCAGCATGCTTCCTGAGCTGCCACAGTGTTGCCTTCCCTTGGGAGCTCCGGAGGCTCCACATCCTCCCACTCAGTATGATGTACAAATCTTCTGGAGCCATGTGGTGGTAGCACTCGTGGTGTGACCTGGCAAACCCGTGTTTCTCTAACTGTCCCAGGAGCATAGTGTGTTTCTTGCTGAAGCTGGGGGTGCATCATGTGCTCCGCATCCCGCTTTACTAGAATGTGACCCACAGAGAAGCCTATGGGTCTCTTCTTACTGTCATGACAGTGTCATGCAGAGGGCAGAGGTACTTAATTCTTCCAAAATCTGTCTTATTAGTATCTTCTGGATTCTACTTCTGGTGTCACATCTAAGGAAGGCATCTGTGCCGAGTCTCAAATCTCAAACACTTGCTTTTTCTTACAGTGCATGTGCTGTTAGCCCTCCCCTCAGGCCTGAGTGCATTTGGGATAGCTTCTACATACAGCATGTGGTTTGGCCAGGTCACTCTTGCTCACAAATACCCAGTGCTGCTGCTGGCAGGACTATGCTTTCTGTGCTGCATCAAAAGTATGCTTTTTGCTGGTGCTTTTCATCTTAGTTATTTTTGCAACTTGGCAAAAATGTTTCTGTCACAGAAGCAGCTGTCAGACTCCTGTCTTTTGACAGGTAATTTGTAATTGTGTCTCCAGGCTCTGTTGAGGATACCACATCCAGCCTCTTTGGCGAGGAGGACGCTGAGGATGAGGAGCTGGAGGCAGCTGCCAGCCACATGAACAAGGACTTTTACCGGGACCTTCTGGGTGGAGGCAGCAGCAACTCGGATGCAGTAGAGATCCCCGAGGAGGGCGGCCAGCCCTTGGCCCTGGAGTCCCTGCTTGGCCCGCTGCCCACAGCAGCCAGCTTAGGCATCTCAGACTCCATCCGTGAATGTATATCGTCCCCAAGCGGGGATCCCAGTAAGTGCTTGTGGGACAGGGACAGGAAATGTTTCCAGTCTGTCCGGTCTCTTTCTTGGAGTGAACGAAAAGCTACCATAGACTTCCCATGTGTTCTGAAATGGTAGGCTGGGACCCCCCTATTTCCTTCCCACACAGCCTGTGCGAGGGACAGAGAGCCAGCACATGCCAGCTCCCCTTGGTGCCAAGGCTTCCCTCCTGCATTGCCAGTCTCTGTGCTGGAGCGTTGCTGGAGTAGCAGCAACAACCTGGAGGAGGTGTGGAGTCTCTAGGGGACTAGGACCAATGCCACTTGTCCCGTCCCTTGTTGGGTGTGGCTGAGAATTTACCCTGGGGGCCTGTGCCTCTCCCTTCTCAAGCACATTGCTTATTGCACTAGAGCACTGCAGTGATGAGCCCTCAAGCAGGGACAGCTGCCCTGCCATGCAGTGCTAGATCCCTGCTGCTCCTTGCCCATCCCACATTTTAAAACATCATCAGGCCAGCCTTAAGGAAGGGCCAGAGCACTAGGAGCTTAGCAGGGCTGGTCAGTCCCTTCTCGATTCTCCGCAAGGACAGGCTCCTCCTCAGTGTATCTCCTGGTGCCCTGTGCGATATGTCACTCAGTCACAGCCTCCAGGACATTGTGCAGCTGTCCTGGTATCAGGGCTCTAAGAGCGCTGGGCAGAGGCAGCCAGGCACAGTGACCCCAGAGCAGGAAGAGGCTACTCCAGCAAGGCTAGGAGAGCACAGGGAGCACAGCAACCACAGAGGACCCCAGGCCTTCCCATGAAGGCTGAGGTGGTTGGCTGAGGTGGTTGGGTACCCCAGGCCTAGGGGCCTTGCAAGGGCAGCCTGATCTCTTTTGGTGCAGACTTCACTCTTGCCCATGCTGGGTCCAGAAGGCGGGGAGGCTCCCTGAAGCTGGGCTCTGGAACTCACCCTCATATCTGCCCCAGCCTCGCATGCCTGGCTGTATCTCCCTGCCTGGAGGGAGCTCATGTCCCCATCTTGGCCCTTGGCAGGGGTGTTGGAGCTTTTTCTGCAGCTGCAGCCTGCCTTCCTGTCTTCTCATGTAGCCTTGCTGTCTCCTCCAGCATGGAGACATCCTGTGGGTGGGGTGAGGTTGCAGGCTTCTGGCAGCCCCTTGACACAGCTGAGCCTGGATGGCCCAGGCGATGCTTGCACCCCTCTGACAGGGCTACTCCTGAGTGACATTGATGTGATGCTTCCCTCTAGAAGACGCCTCGGGGGACGGTGAGCTGGATCTCAGTGGCATCGATGACCTAGAAATTGACAGAGTAAGCACTGCCTCTCGCCTTCTTGGAAGTCAGTTTATGGGGATGGGTGGCTCCCTGCCCAAGGCCTATTGCTGCCTCTGGCCTCTCAGGACCCTCTGGCTGGAAAGGGCAAGGGAGTAAAAGGTATCCATGTGGAGCAGAGGCCTGTCTATGTTTCTCCTTCCTTTAACAATTTGAATATACAGCCAGGCCCAGTGACTCGTACCTGTTGTAATCCCAGCACTGTGGGAGGCTAAGGCAGGAAGACTGCAAACCAGGAAACTCAGAGACTTAGTGAAACCCTGTCTCAAAATAAAAACTGAAAAAAAGGCTGGGGGTGTAACTCATTTTAAAAGCTCTGGGTTCACTCCTAGTGCTACTAACAGCAGCAACAAGAGTCATAAATAATAATAAATAAAGGGAAAGTACATTCATTGGAGAGAGATCTTAGCGTACGCTTGGCGTATGGAAGCTCCAAGCTGAAGTTCTTCCCTGTGCCCACACAGTACATCCTGAATGAGGCAGAAGCCCGGGTGAAGGCAGAGCTGTGGATGCGGGAGAATGCTGAGTATCTGCGAGAACAGAGGGGTAAGTGCCCCTTGTCTGCTTGGTGCCTGGTGCACGGGCCCTTGCTGACACAGCCCACCTTGACTTCTAGAGAAAGAAGCGAGAATAGCGAAGGAGAAGGAGCTGGGCATCTATAAGGAGCACAAGGTAGGTGCCTCCAACATGCCCAGGGTTCAGCTGCCCCCTGTAGTACCTGCAGGTAGGAGGGGACAGATCTGTGGACTGTCCCTTCCCAGTGACCCTAGACCAGGCTAGGCAGGCAGTTGAGAGCTATATGTTCTGGACCCCACATTGCGTCCCTGGCTGCCAGGTTGCCCTGATTTGGCCACGTGCATTGCATAGACTCCATCACCAATGGATCTGCCACCCTAGTTGGGGTGAGTCCCCAGCATGGGTGTCAGAGCCTCAGAGCTAGACAGGGTCCCTGGCCTTGAGTTCCTGTGGAGAGTGCGAGAGGTCCCATGTCTGTCATTTTCTCTGATGACCTGGGAAAATCTGTGCCCTGCCTTCCCTGCTGACCATCACAGTGACTGACTCAGCTGCTCACTCCAGAGGACCCCAAAGCCCAGGACACTCCTTACCCAGTAGCATGTTCTGCACCCTGAGACATGCTGGGCACTCTCCTCTTTCTTTTTGATGGGCACCTGTGCTGGGATAGTCGGTGTGCAGGAAATGAGGTGGGAGGTGGCACAGCTGGGTGTCCCCGGTGTGGCCTGAGGAGCCCTCTCTGGCTCCCCTGGGTGCTGCAGCTGCCATGCGTGGGACCAATCACAGGGTGTAGGTGATGGCCCACGTGAGGACTCACAGTTGTGTTTTCACTCAAGCCCAAAAAGTCTTGCAAGCGCCGTGAGCCCATCCAGGCCAGCACTGCCAGGGAGGCCATTGAGAAGATGCTGGAGCAGAAGAAAATCTCGAGCAAGATCAACTACAGCGTGCTTCGCGACCTCAACAGCAAGGGTGCAGGTAGCCCCCAGAGGAACGACATGCAGCCCACCGAGAAGGGCAATGCCAGGAAGCTGTCATGGAGGAGAGTGGTGGCCAGCAGGAGCGGGGCCGACCCTGGGACCAGTGTGGGGAAGAGGTACCGTCCTGTCCCTTGGGCTGGCTGTCAGGGTTGGGGTGGAGCCTCTGGAGCTGTGCTAGCCCTGCCCCACTGTGTGCTGGAGCTGATGGGCTGTCCAGGCGTAGTGTGGGCCATGTCCTGATTCCCCTCACCCAGCAGTATCAGGGTCTGCTCTATCTTGAGGAGGCCAAGGGATGCCCAGTGGGATGGCCAGCCACCAGTCCATGCCTTCTCTGGGCAACTTGCTTGCCCAGCTGGAGGGAGGAGAGCTGACTGCAGCTGGCAGGTAGGTGTGGGTGAAGTGGTGAGCAGTGGCACAGCAGCACCTCCTGGCAGGAGAGAGGGTCAGCACTGCCCTGCAGCTGAGCAAGGAGCCATCAGGCGGTGCTGCAGTGTTTCTGACAGTGCCCCGGGCACTGGCCAGTGCATCCCTCCCATGAAGAAGGCTGGGCATGGCAAGCGCCCCTCTGCCTGGGTTCCTTATGGGGTGCTCCCCACCCCATTCTCAGCCGGTGCTTTCTTTGACTCCGCCCTAGAAGGAGAGATGTCTTAAGGCATTCCTTTCCCTCTGAAGCTGGAGCCAACATCTCTCTGTGTGTCTGTTCCCATTGTGTTGTTTCCTTTTGCTGTTGCTAGTGGCTTTATTTCACAATACCAAGCTAGTGGTCTATGTCAGTTTGCTTACCAGTCTGGCCTTCCTGGGGCTTCTAGGATTCGTGTCATGCTCACAGAGTCCTTTTCTGTGTCCAATTATAAGCATATCCACCATGACTTTCCTTCTAATAGCAATATGGTTTTATTTTTTTATGTCCTAAGTTTTGATCTATCGGAAATCTTTTTTTTGAGACAGTTTTGCTATGTAGTTCAGGCTGACCTTGAACTCACGGGAATCTTCCTGCCTCAGCCTCCCAAGTGCTGGGATTATAGGCATGCACCACCATGCTCAGATAGAATTTATTTTCATGTGAGGCTGGGGGTGAGACCACGTGGCTGTTCTAGTTGGTGACCACTGACGGTACCCTGTCTCTACAAAACCCCATCTTTGTGCTGGTAGCAGAGGTCCCTGTGTACATACATGCTGTCGCTGAGCTGCTGGTGCCCTACTGTCCTGATGTGGTATTTGGTGGGCCGGGTCCTTAGGAGAACATCCTTTGTAGCCTGTTCATCTTCCCTAAATAGAGAGTCAGGGGTCTTCTCCCACTGCCACTTTGCCTTGTTCAGTGGGGGTTACTCTTATGTCCTCAGCTTGGGCACACAGTTGCTTCAGGGTCTCCTTGAGTCCAGGCCCTGCGTGTTTGCTTCTGGCACGGTCTGCATGATGCCTTCAGTTGCCTCTGTATGAGGGTATCATTGGTCCTTCTGTCCACTGTTTTCCCTGCCATGGTTTAAGTTGTTTTCCGTAGTGTTCTGAGTCCCAGGTGGCTCAGAACATTCTGTCATCTTATGTGAGCGCACAAATTTCCTCAGTTAGCCTTCACCAGGTCCATTTGCTCCTGAGACTGCTGTCCTATGGTTTCTCAATGGCCATTTGAGACCTGGTGTCCCAGGGCACCCCTTCCTTGTACATATAGGAGAGGGTGGGGCTGGGGATTTAGCTCAGCGGCAAAGCACCTGCCTGGCAGGCGCAAGGTTGTGAGTTCGGTTCCTGGTACCGGCGAAAAACCAAAAAGAAAAAAAAAAAGACATATAGGAGAGGGTAGCTGAGGTGGGGTTGGGAAGGTCCCAGGGCTGGGGTCCCACAGGGTCTCCGCTGTTACCTGCTGTGCCCACAGTGCCAGCTTCACCTATTAGCTTTAGCCCAAGCCATTGCAGGTCCACCCTGATTCCTGCCTAGGCCTATCTGAGCCAAGAGTTCTACCTCGTGTGGCAGTTCTGACCAGCTGCCTAGCAGCCCAGGTGTACACATGTGTGTGTCTTCCCTGAGTGCCCTAAGTGGTCAGGACAGTTTGTGAAAATCTGGTCTCCTGAAGAGGACGTAAAGCCTCAGCGTTTGTCTGTCCTCACCCTGGACAGAGAGAGGCCCCACGCAGCATGGGGCTCCTGCCCTTCTCCATTGGCCCCACTGCAGGGCTGGCCCTCTGTCAGAGGTTCCTAACCGGCTGCTGTACTAGGTCTTTTGGGCCACCAGGTTTGGCCTACCAGGGACCCCTGGGCAGGAGGAAGGGCTCAAAGGGTTGATGGACAGGGAGGATGCAGGACTAACAGCTTGTGGGGGCCTCCCCAGAGGGGACCTGGGGCAGTCTCAGACATAGTGGCCCACTCGTTGGACATCCCCACTTGTGTCACTGCCATGGAGCAGGCAAAGCACCCTTCACTCCCCATGTGCCCAAGTACCCTCAGCTCCAGGACAGCAGAGCGCTGGGTTGCCTGCCTCTCGCTGTGCCACACGGGACATTGCACCCTCTGATGGCACAGGAGCATGAGCTAGGGCTTGAGGGTGCAGAAGGTGTCCCCCTGAGTGGGCAGTAATGTTCAATACCTGCTGCTAGAAGGGGACCTCTGGCAGGCCCAGCAAACCCCAACCTTGCTCCCAGCCAGGTGGTGCCCAGCCCCCCATGCTGTAGTTGTCAGCTGGGGAGAGGTGTGGGGGTGGCTGTTACCCTGGGTCAGGTGTGTTTGTGGAATTCCACTGTGACATTTACTGTCAGGGCTGAGAGGTTGACAGCTGGAGCTGGCAGTGGGAATGGTGAGGATAGCTGGTAGCCCCAAGACAGCCAGGGTGATCCTGGGCATGACTCCATTCTGGTGGTCACACGAGCAACCAGCCCAGGAAGCTCCCTGTGTTTAGGGGCTCTGTGGCGTCCACAGTATCTCCAGGGCTGATCTGGCATGTCAGCAGGCAGACGTCAGCCACAGAGGTGAGCCTGAGCACTTGCTGCCACACAGCTGTGCCCCATAGGGAAGGGCTCCACTGTCCAGCCTCTCGCCACAGGCCATGTCCACTCGGCCCACCTGAGCAGCACTATGGCCAGGATGTGGGAACAAGCCCACCTTCCCTCAAGTGGGCAGCCTTTCTTCCCCTCTGAAGAGACTTAGCGTGCTCCTGTCCCTATGGACATCTCTGTGCTGGGGGTTAGGGGCTGGAAGGCAGGCCTGGTGTAGGGTGCCTCTGTGCCCTGGGGCAGGGAGGCATGACTGCCTTCCCTTCTTCCTCAGGGGCTGGTGGTGTGGGGAGAACTGAGTACATCTGTACCATGTGGACCCTGTCCATGACCCTTACATGGTGTCCAGAAGTCTGGGGCAGGACAGCCCATACTTGATCTTAGCCACATAAGTGGCCAAGAAGCAATGGGGCAGGACAGACTATCCATACCTCTCAGTTCTTTGGCATCTGTGGACTCATCAGGAAAGGAGCCATTGCTGTGGCTTTTGCGTCTTTGTGTCACAGACACACAGCAGAAGCCAGGGGCAGATACTGATTAACACAAGATGCACAACAGAGTAGAGTTAAGATGGACCTGGCTGGGCTCCTCCGGGCAGCAGCAAGGGCAACACACCCAGAAAAAGCCAGGAAGGAACAAGTAGGGCCTGGGATCAAGAGGGGACCTGAGGACAGGAAGAGAGACCTAGGGGAGGAGCCTTGATGAACACTGGGGTGGACCAGGAACCTGGAGTCAACCAGAGAGGCGTGAAGGCCAGGGACAGTGCCTGCAGCCACTGGGTGGAGTTGGTCCATGCCATGCAACACCAGGCCTGGCCCTCTGAGCTGCGGCTTACAGGCATTCAGCAGGCAGGCCAGGCTGTGACCACACTGCTCTCTTTCAGGTTGAGGCCTCTGGTGTCTACACAGCCAGCTAAGAAAGCAGCCGTGGGAGAGGTATGTCTCTTGGCACACAAGCAGGGCCTGGGAATTGTTCACCACTGCTCAGCACAGGCAGTCACTGGTGCTCATGGTTCAGGCAGCTGGGTCACAGAGGCAGAGTGGGGAGGTGAGACCAGGCACAGATCTGCTCCCGGGCACTGAGGGTGAGGATGAGGGTAAGCTGGGCCTGGATGTCTGATGGTGCAGCTTGCTACACAGCCTCAGGAGACCACAGGGCCCAGTGGACACGGAGCCAGACAGACCTCTGACCAGTTCAGACATGGGGCAGGAGTGCTGAGTTCCATCCAGGGCCAACCTGGAGAGGTTAGGAGGGTGGCCTGTGTGCGGCTCCTGTCCCAGGCTGACCCTCTCCTTCCAGGCTGCATTTCTGAACTCCCCTGCCCTGGGACCCGAACTGGCCAGGCCAGCAGCAGTGCTGGTGGAGAGCGGCCCAGTGTCCTACCACCCTGAGGAGGTAGCTGACGAGGATGATGCAGATGAGGATGATGGGGAACCCTGCATCAGTGCCCTGAAAATGCTGGGCAGCAATGGTAGGTGTATCCCATGTGGTTGGTGGGCAGGCACAGAAGCTGGGTGGGGCATCAGAGAGATGAAAACATAGACCATTTGTCCTTGATGAAGCCTGAGCTCAAACTGTGAGCTTCAGACTAAGACTTCTCTGGAAGGAAAGGAATTTGAACTAAGTTGGGACTATGTTGGCCATGTTGGTGGGTCTGCAGCCCTTGGATATGCTAGAAAGAGCTGGGTGGGGCTGAGGCGCCCACTGTGAGGGCTGCAGGCTCCAAGCTTACTGGTACACAGGGTCACCTGCATGCTTTCTTTTCACATGGGCCTCGTGAGAAGCCAAGGCCCCATACTAGGCTCCCACAAACATGCAGGAACAAGGGATCACAGGGTTAGCTCCCACCATGTGCGGCCTAGGGTGGGTCCACAGGATATCCATTCTCCCGTGATTGTGCTTTGTAGCTTATGGTTGTGATGGCGATGATGATGATGGCTACTGAATGTGACCTCAAGACCAGCAGCATCCTGATTGGACCCTGAGCACATCTCATGGGGGCTGGCGGGACCCCCAGGCATGGACCCCAAGACTTGAGGCCAGCCAGCACCTCCTGCTTGCTTGGATGCTCTCATCCCTCAGCCCATGTGGCCTCCATAGCACTTAACCATGGGACCATGTTTGAGCAACGTAAGGAGCATTTCTACGCAGTAGGGGAAGTTGGACCAGCCTCTGTCTGACAGGACATGGCCAGGGAGCCCCTGAAAGCTGGGTTCCATCGTATGGCCCAGCTTGCTGTTACTGGCCCAATGGAGAACCCTCAGAGGTGGGCACTATCATGTCCCCATTGTGAGGAAACAAACAGGAGCCCCTGGCCCAGCTTGCCAGCCCTGTACTCCAGGATTCTGCTCTTGTCCCACAGCCTGAGGGCCCTGGCCTTGTGCAGTGAGTCCATGGGGGCAGCCAGCTGCTTCTGCACTCTTATCACCACATGAGTCTAGAGCCAGTCCTCTGCCTTGAGCCTCCTTCCAAGAGGCATGAGCTCCCCACTACCTCTGGGACCCCCTTACTGTAAGGCAGCACAGGGGCAACACAGGATAAGGGGTCTGCACCTGGAGCTCAGGGGCCATCCTGGAGCTCAGGCCTCTTCACCTGCAGGGCCTTGAGCCCTGCCTCCCTGTCTATGGCCCTAGGGTGAAGAAAGCAGGGCTTCTACCTAATTTAGGGCAAGGACACTGGCCTCCAGGTGGGTGGGCTGGGTGTCCTATGCTGCTCTGCCTCTGGGGCAAGACCCAAGCCAATGCGGAAACAGCATGTTGGGGCCTGAAGTCCTCAGCCTTCCTTTTGCCCTGCCTATACCTACAGCCAGCCTAGTCCAGAACTGCTGTGCTTCAAGTGAACTAATGCAGAAAGACCTGTATCTGAGCAGAAATTGGCTGAAGTGTGTGTCTGTGATTTCATGTCTGGCTCTCTGACGGGCCTTCAACATGGCACATCTGACCCTGTGGTTCCCAGCATGCCTTAGGCACCCTGGTTGGGCAGGTGGTGGGCAAGTCTTCAGGGCCATCCTCCCACAACAAGTCTCCATGGGGAGCAGCTCCCCATTCCTTGAGTTCCACCTGCCTGAGCTCAGGTCTGTCTCAGGTCAGGATGTGGAGCTGCTCTCTCCCAGTGTGCCCCACTTTGGCCCTGGGAATGGAGAGAAAATGCTAGAAGGCCCAAGGCTGTCCTGGGGGAGAAGTGTCTGAGCTGCAGATTCCTAGGCCATCCAAACTGTAGCAGTTGCTATGTGGACATGGTGGGGGTGAAGATGGATGAGGATGTGCCTCCCACAGAGAGCCAGAGTGTGCCAGGGAAGGATGTGTATTCAGGGCCACTCACCCAGGCCTGAACAGTGAGAACACCTGGACACACCTGTGTGACATAAGGGCCACTGAGATTCATGTGTGGATCAGGGCAGGCAGGGCTTGCTGTGCCTGCCCATGGAGAGCAGAGGGCACCGGGGCCAGCCCAGAAATGACGGGGCTGGGCTGGGCTTGACTGGGAAGGGCAGGTATGAGGTAGTTTGGGGGAAGGTTGCTCTTGGGAAAGGGGTGTGTGGAAAACCAGAATCAGGAGTCCTCCAAGCTTGGGCAGTGGAACACACAGAACAGTGAGGGGCATCCCAAATTTGGTTTTGGTGGCCTCTGTTTGCCAGGCTGTAGAACCCCCGGGGCGGGGGGAGGCAAGGTGCAAGGGAAGGCAATGCCATCTCCTGCATGTTGCACATGGGTTTGTAGGAGCCAAGGAGCGCTATGGCTAGAAGTGAGTTGTCATCCATGGCAGGAGGGGAGGGGCTGGGCTCAAGCCCCCAGGGAGGCAGAGGGTATCTTTGCTAAAGGCCGTCTGTGGGCAAAAGGGGGGCAGGGGGAGAGAAGTCAGCACCCTGGGAAGAAGACAGGGTGATGGGTAGGCTCCAGACATACGCAGGTAAACTGAGGTTTGCTACCCCCCAGGGACAGCAGGAGGTGCTGTCGTGCTGGAAAGTGGAGGCATCAGGGCTGTAGGGGAGCCAAGCCTCTCCAGGGGACCCAGGGGCAGCTTGAACCCTGTCCTGGCCTCTGCTGGCACAAGTGTGGGGCTGAGAGGGGCACTTGGGTCTGTGGACACATCCCACAGGCAGTGTGGGGGCACAACTGCCTGCTCCTTCCTGACTCTTGTGCTGGGCTTGCCTTGGGTCTGCTCAGGGTACAGGGCAGGGCCTCAGAGGCTTCTACCTAGGGCCCCTTCTGGGAAGACCCAGAACTGGCTGCATGGGAGCCCCAGGGAGTAAGGGAAGAGGGACCCTCATGGCCCCTGCCCTGTGTACACACCTGAGTGCCAGGCAGCCAGCAGCCCTCTCTGTTGGTTTCTGTGCCCTTCTGTTGCCTGCATGAGATGTGCGTGAGGTAGGGGCCTCTCAGCTCTGGCCGAGTCGGGGCCTCCAGTACTGCCTCAGGTCCTGGGCAATGGTCTCATGGGGGAAGAGGCAGGGTACCTAGCTGGAGGAGGTGCCAGCCAAGGGTCTGGCCAGCTGGCTGAGCCGTGGACCTGGTGCTTGGTGGCAAGGTGCCAGTGACTATAGGTATTGATAACTCACCTTTAGAGGTGTCCGGGCCAGCTTGGAGGAGCTGGATGTGGCACCAGGCCCAGAGCCTGACCCTGGGGTGAGGGTGGGCAAGGCCAGGCTTTGGGGCACTGGTCAGAGACCCTGTCCAGCCTACCTTGCATGCTGTCTTTCTGGCCCAGCTGCTCTGCCCAGCTCTGTACCCACAGGCGTTGGGGCAAGGAGGTCCCGGGGAAAGGCAGGGCTCCTTTTTGCACATAAGTGCCTCTGGACTCCTTTGCTGTTTTGTCTCCCAGTGACATTGCCACCTGTCCCAGCGGGCACAGGGCAACATGCCCCAAGCCTGCCCCCCACCAGGTTGCCCTGCTGCATGGATGGAATGGGTAGACGTGGGAACCTGTGGCCGCCCAATGTTTCCTTGCCATCCTACCCAAGGCAGCTGTCTGTGGGCAGCAGGAACCACACAGGGACTTGAGAAGCAAGAAAGTCTGGGCCTCGCCAGGGGGCACTGCTTTGGGCACAGTATCCCTGCATGCTGGCAACACCCAATTGCAGCCTCTCCCTGATGGTTCCCTGAGGAAAGGCATGGTGGGGTGGGAGGTGAGGATGTCTGGTCAGCAACCTTGCTGTTGCCTGCTTTGTGGGTATCCAGGCCTGACCCAATCCCCCCAGCTGCTTGGGCTGGATTTTAGGGGCACCAGGTAGCAAGTGGGTAGCAGCAGCTGGGGCTGGGCGTAGGGGTCATCCAGCCTGTCCACTCTCCCATGGAGGCACACATGAAGCCGGATGCCTTTCCCTGCTGACCACAGCAGCTGTGGGTCAGTGCTCTGTTCCAGCCATGGTGGGAAAGGGGCTGCAGCCCTGCAGAGTGGGGCCTGCGTGAGATAGGGGCCTCTCAGCTCTGGCCAAGTTGGGGCCTCCAGTACTGCCTTGGGTTCTAGGCAATGGTCTCTGGTAGACCCCATAGCATCGTACAGAGCCCTACCTTTCTGTGCTGGCCCCATGTAGGCTGTCTGGCCACTGCGCCAACACACCTCCAAGCCTTCCCCACCCCACCTGGCTGCTGGAGTGGAGGTAGCATGCATGCCCTGGCCAGAGAGGGGTACGGGCCAAAGCTGAGCCCACGCCCCTGGATGAAAGGGCCTCTGATGGCAAGTGGTAGGTCCAGCACAGGCTGGCCATGTGGCAGTGGGCTGGGTCTCGGCTGGGCCCCTTGCAGCCCCCCGTGGGCCCCTCTGTAGTGCTGGGAGGTTGCCTGCCCTGCATGAGTGTGGGGTACATTTATTGCTTGCCCTGGTCTAAATAAGCAGCAGTGATACCGACTTGGACTCCTTCTGTCTCCTGGTTTCACAGGTAAGGCCACAGAGGTCCCCCAGCCAGAAAGTGGCTGCTCTGCCCAGCTCTGTACCCTGCTAAGCTGCTGGCAACCCTCAAACAGCTGGGAGAAGCAAGTGCAGTGGGCCAGTGGTTGGGTGTGTGCCCCCTTCTGGTTGCACTCAGTCAGGGGACACCCTTTGACAGCTGTCAGGAGGGAGGGAGCTGAGGATGATCACCAGAGCTTTGTCAGGGTCCTACTTCCTCTACCGGACAGCAGACACCCATGACCTTGTAGCACCCCACTGTGGGACCTGTCCCATCATGTCCCAGGCCAACTGATGGCATCCAGGACCAGCCCAAGGACAGATGGTGCTTCTGGCTTCCTGCTCCACACTACCCTTCCCCAAAACCAGGGACACCCACCTTATGGCCCTCCACATCCCCTTAGCTGTTGATCTGCAGTGTCCTTGCCCCTTGGGGGACACTGAGAGGGGCCTGTGGTGAGCTCAGAGAGGACTTGCCAGGCTTGGCATGCCTGCTGAGCGCCTGAGCTGTGAGCCCCTGTCCCTTTGTCCTGCGCTACGTGCCTGTGGTGCCTGCTGGTCCCTGGGGAGGCCTGGGTTGGGCCAGGCTGGCAAGGGTGGGGCCAAGGGTTGGCTCCAAGGCTGTGGTGGTGCCTGCAGCCTGCCCAGGCCTTCAAAGGGGTTATGGGCGGTGGCAAAGGCAGGCTCTTTATGGTTTTCCTGCGGGAGAGGAACCTGGCTGAGGAAGCCATTGTCTCCACACAATGGTCCTGGCTGAGACCCATAAGGGTGAGGGCCAGGGCCCCCAGACTGGAGGACCCAACCCTGCCCTCAGCTCAGTCGTCACCCCACCTCAGTCCTCTCAACCCTGACGCTGGCCCTTGGTGATTCTCTTTCTGCAGGGCCCTCTCTTGCTCACCAGGGAAGAGCTATGACAGGGTAGGGGCATTCCCAGCGCCGCTGCAAAGGGCCTTGGTACATGGGGTGCCTACAAGCACCCAGTCCCACTGCTCCCACAGAGGCCTGCTGGGCAGAGATTCAGGCAGGAGACCTGGACACACCTGCTGAGTGAGAGGCAGTGCCCACTCTGCCAGGTGGTGTGGGGAGGCTGTTTCTCGGTGACCATGGGGCCTTTGCAGCAGCCCAGCTGGGTAACTGTCTCTCAGTTTGGAGTTTATGGTGAACAGCAATGCCAGTCACCTGCCTTGGTGAGGCCTGGCTCTCAACCTGGCCTGGCCCCCTGGAGCACATCAAGGGGATGGCCACAGTGACCCCTGCCCACAGCCTCAGCCTGGGGCTGCTGGCTGCAAGGACCTCCCTGTGTGGAAGGGTATGGGTCAGACCTCGATGGTGCAGGGCCTGAGGGAGGGCAGGGCAGCATGCACTGTCCATGGGGAAGGACCCAGAGAAAGGCATCTGTATGCTCGGGGCGGGGTGGCGTCAATACAGGCACCTGTGCAGCCTGGGGAGGGGCTGCTGGCTTTAGCCGGCTGGACTGTCTTGATTCCTGGACAGCAGAAAGGTTCAGGCCCATCACCATCATGGCCGTGCTCAGCATTCTCTCCAGTGAAGCTAGTGGAGCATGTTGCTTAGCTATGCCCTCTCTAGGAGCAGTGGGGAAGGTGGGTGCAGCTGGACGATTCACTCGTTTCTCCTGAGCTGCGCATGTGACGCGTTGCACTTTCACATCAGTGACCCTGGGGGTCATGGAGACAGTATTAGTTTCTATCCCCTGCGGTCCCTGGACTCTGGCCTGGCAGGATGGGGTGGGCTGCCACCTCCCTGGGACACTGAGGCCTCCCTGTCCTAAAACCCCGTGACCAGAACATCCCTTCCAGCCACATGTCTCCTTCGTTCATGAATTACGCACTCTGCACAGAGAACATGGACAAAGCCTCAGCAAAGCTCTTTCTCTGCAGGAGCATGGGGGTGCAGCCAGCCCTCCCCGCATCCTGGAGGGGAGACAGGCTTTAAACCATGCCGGTGCACACATGATCCATGGACAGGTGTGGACATCCCAGCAGGCAGGGCGCTACCTGGGAAGCATGGCATGCCGGGTCCCCTCTGTCCCCGAAAGCCCTGGCAGGTGTTTGGGGAAAAGGGCACTGGAGGGCTGAGGGCCCCCCAAGGACACAGGAAGTGAGACCAGGCCCCAGGAGCACAGGTGCTGCTCTCCCCTCTGCTCTCCAGGTGGGCTAGGTATAGGGTCAGGCATGGGGAGTCCACAGCCTGCTGCTGCTTGCTCAAAGGGGTGACAGGCATTCCCTTTAGGTGGCAGCCCATCTGACAGCTGTCCTGCCACTTGGGCAGCACCAGGATGAGGCACCCCCCAGGGTCAGGCCAAGGGGAGCCTTCTTGGCCTTCACTGCCCTTTTGCAACTTCAGCTCCCATTCTACACACGAAGTGTCCCCACACTTGCTGGGGTGAGGGTGGGGTCAGCTCTGCTGGTGGGCAGCATAGCTGGGTCCCTGCTTATAGTAAAGCTCAGAGACAGAATATTGGCATCCATGGTGGGAAGACCCAGAAGAGCCTCGGCAGGCCTGGGTGTGCTGGGTCAGCCCAGGAAGGCTTCCTGGGGGAAGAGCTGGCCAAGCAAAATATGAGATGCCCAAAGCTGCAGGCACACAGAAGAGGCAGGTCCCCACCTACCTGGGACCCGGGTGACAGCAGGGTGTGAGGGCTGCACGGTGAGGCAGGCAGGACCCTACAGCACAGGCAGTGAGGGCCTCTTGAGGTAGGAGGGTTGGGTCACAGTGCAGGGAACATTCAAGCTAGAGTTGGAGTGTGTGGCCACAAAGGCAGAGAGGTGTGCTTGGCCCTGAAGGCCTCCCAGCCCTGGCCAGATGGGGTGGGCCAGGGTTAGGGAAGGGATGGGGCTGGGGCTGACCAGAGCCCTTAAGTGGGGAGAGTGCTGGAGAGTGCAGCATGGGAGGGCAGGAACTGGGCCAGGGTCAGGCTGCTGGCCAGGTGTAAGGCACAGGGGGCACAGGCAGAGGGGCGACCCCATGCTCGAGTCTGGTGAGTCACTGCTGACCCACAGTCCTGGCGCCAAGGGTCCGGGCCAGCCACACTGGCCTCAGGAAGTGGGGAGAGGTGATAAAGGGCAGGAGTGGGACGCCACCAAGCCTCCCACTTCCTACAGCTTGGGTGGTGAAGCCTGGTGCCAGTGGGTATCTACTCATACAGGCCCGGGAGTCTATGCTGCCCATCGGCTCACAGTGCAGGGCGTTCAGGTGCTTATGGCCAGTCTGGCTGTGCCCCTGCCAGGTGGGGCAGAGGTGTCCCGTGAGCAAGAGAAGCCCAGGAGGCTGCTGACATGTGCATCCACACACCAGGCCCCTCGGGTTCCCGGGTTCCCAGGGACAGGTGCTCACAGGAAGGCAAGGGGTGCCAGCCCTGGACAGTGATTCCAGGGCTAGGGGCCGCGGCTATTCTGCACCCCAGCGCTCCACCAGGCCTGCCCACAACCCCCCGTCCGCCTGCACGGTGAATTGGTCATGCGCCCGCCAGGGCCCTCAATGCCACAGTTACACCCAACACCATTTACCGGTCATCCTGCCACCCTAGCCCCCGGGGAGCTGCCCGGGGTCAGGGGGGGTCACTCCCCGCCAGGGCCAGCCTCCCCCTGGCTGCCTCCTTTCATCACTGTCGCTGTGGTGGCTCGACGCTAGCAGCAGGACAGACAGGACTGCCCAGGCTGGGGCACGTAACAAGCCGTCTAGCGCCTCCTGCCTCAGTCTCTCCAAACCGCCCCAAGGTTCTAGTCTTCCTCCCGGAAGCCCCCCACGCCGACTCCAGCTCCGCGGGCCTGCGCGGATTTCACGGGCCTGTGGGGCGCGGGCCCGCCTGCTAGGGCCAGCGCGAGCGACGCCGGCCGCGGCCTCAGCGCAGGGGGCCTCTCTGACTCCGCGGTGGGCGGGCCAGCGGCCGCTGCACGCGGGCACCAAGCGGGCGGTGTCTCCCGCGGGCTGGAGAAGCAGCCCCGACCCGCTGGCAGCCGGGCGGACCGCGCGGCGGGGCGGAGCCGGCCCCTGCCGCGCTACCCTGATTGGCCGGCGAGCGGCCAGCGGTCTGCACCGGCTCCTCATTGGTCGCCAGCCGCCGGGTCACCGCCGGGTTCGGCTCGGCGCGGCAGTTCGGGCCCGCGTGCGTGCCGCAGCAGGACTCGGGCGCGCGGGCCGGGCTTATCAGCGCGGGCAGCTGGGGCCATACCCATGCGGGCGCGCCGGCCAATTCAATGACCATTGTCCGCCGGCCCCTTTGTTCGAGGGCAGCCGCTTCCTGCAGGCCGCGCGGGGGTCGGGCACCGGAAACCCCGGCGCGGAGGCCGCCCCGGCCCGGTCCCGTCCGGCTCGCGCGGCCGCGATGTCCCCTCCCAGCGAGGCGGCAGTGGGGCTGGCTCGTAAGATCGGAGCCCGGCGAGCTGGGGAGGGACGGGGCGTCCCCGCGGGGTCGTTCCCTCCATCCTGACCCTGCCAGGCTCCTCCCGCTCCCGCCGCCCACGCAGGCCCGGCCGCCTTCCAGGCCACACCTGCCCGCGGCCTGGGGTGCTCCTGACCCGCAGCTGGCAGACGGCCTGGGGCACTGGTGGGCAAGGCGGGGTCTGAGGCCCCCGTGGCCACTAGGCGGCAGGGCAAGATGTCACAGCCGGGCCTTTCCCTTGCACATGCCCCGGCTCCTCCCTGGTGGGAAGCAAGAGCGACACAGGGCCTCACGGACCCCTGGAGGATCTGGTCACCAAGGGCTTGCACGTGTGGGTGAAGCTGGCAGGGGGCAGCCGGGCAACCCAGAGGGCGGCCAGACTGCCAAGGCTGGTGACTGCCCAGCCCACTGCCATCACCTCCCAGTCCAGGCCCCTCCCCTGCCCTCGGGGCTCTGGCCACAGCTCCCCCTTTTCCCATCACCTGCCCTTCCTAGCGGGAGCCCCCAACGCCCCCCACCCAGCTCACAGAGGTCAGCATCACCGCTTGGGCCCCACGTGGCCGCTGTGCCGAGGCTCTGCCCAGACTCTGGGCTGCCCCCCGCTTTCCGGGCTCCCACACTGTGACCTGGGCTCACCCCGCTCCTCTTGTCCCCTCTGCGTAGGACTGTGCTGCCCTTGGGAGAGGAATCAGAACTGGGCTGTGTGCTGGGGTGTGGGAGGCCTGCCTGCCACACGTGGAGATGGCGGCTGCGAGCACTGGAGGTCCGTCCTTGCTGCCCTGGCTGGCAACACCCCCTTGCTGTTAAGTGGGGTGCAAGTGTCAGGCTCTGCCCTCCCACTTATGGGGCCTGTGATGCCCTCAACTGGGAAGGACTGTGCCCACCGTCATGCAGGTCAGGAGGACCACATCCCACACAGACCTGCTGGTGCCTACGTGGCTAGCTTCAGTCCTGCATGGCAGTCATCACTGCCACCTCCAGCTGCATGTCCAAGGACACCCTGACCCCTTCCTGTGGCCCTTCCTCTCCTGCCCTTACCAGGGCCCTGGCGGCCCAAGGAACTGTGCTGTTCTGGGGAGAGGGACTTTCTGTTTCTGGAGAAGCTCTGGCCACTGCTCTACACAAATGTCAGCATTTGGCTCCAGGCTTGCTTCTCCTCCATGGCCCCACACCATCAACTGGCTCAGCATGCCCCTGCTCAGGCAAGGGTGGGAACCGATGCCAGGGAGGCTGGGCTGGACCTGTGCCCTGCCGGGACCCTGGGTGAGGCCGCAAGGGTGTGGGGCTCACAGGGCCAGCTCTGTGGGAGGTCTGCATGAGTCACCCCCACACGCAGGCACAAATGCAGGAAACTGCCATTCTGCTTAACTCTGTTTTCTCCCACAGAGGGAAAGTCGGTCACACGAAGGCATTGTTCTTGGCCAGCGCCTTTCCGGGTGGGCTTCTCTGTGCGCTGGCCTCACGCTGAGCTGCTTCCCCTGAGACCCAGGGGTGCCTGGAGTGGGGAACGTGAATGGGTGCAGCCACCGGCCCTGCTGACACCAGCATGGCCACCAGCAAGTGCCCAGCAAGAGCCCAGGGGTGAGGTCCCCTGTCTCGCCCTGCCAGGGTCATCTCCACTGGTGGCCCATGGCTGCCCCTTGTCTGCCCCCTGGGAAGGCCTTACCACAGCTTGGAGCAGGGCTGTCCATGCTGGCGAGGGGCACACAGCCCTTCCTGGGCTTAGGCACCATCATGCCCCACTGAGCTGTGGTCAAAGTGTGGAGGTACTGCCCCGCAGTGACAGGTGCCAGGAGACCTAGAGAGCCCTACCAGGGGTAGCACAGCTGGCAGCTGGTAGCACACCCTGGGCCTTAGCACCGCACAGGATGGGTGAGGAAGCCGGGTGGGTGGCCCCTCTCTCCCCATGTGCAGGCTGTTGCCTCCGTGTTTGCTTGGGCCTGGGCAGGGGTGCTGTGTTCAATCCTCAGTGCCCAGGACAGGGAAGGAGGCCTGAGGAGGAAAAGCGCAGTGGCACAGGAGGGCAAACCCAGACTGACTGCCTGTTGCCGGCACAAGCCCACCTGAGACCGGAAGTCGAGGGTGGGGCAAAGAGCAAGCTGGCCCGACTCAAGGTCTCAAATTTCCACAGAGCACACCAGGAAGGTGGTGATGGAGAAGCCCAGCATACTGCTCACGGCTCCCAAAGGAGGACAGATACCTGGGAGAGGGAGTCTGAGGGGTCTCAGGTCAGAGGTCCAGGCTCCCATGGGAAGGGTTCAGTGCTAGGGAGGTGCTGCAGGTGCAGTGAAGGCAGTGCCCCCGGGTCAGCCTCCCCATTTCCCTGTGCTGTGCCTGCGAGACCCCCAGCTTTCCTGCATGCCACTCCCCGCTGCAGCTCATGGCCAGGTCTGTCCCTGACACTCCCTGGGCCCATGCTCACGTCTGACTGTACAGTCCCCACTTCCTCGTGCAGATACTTTCTACCACACACGTGCCCCCAATTTTCAAATTATACTAAAGTATAAGTATTATATAAAACTTACACCATTTGAGCTTTGTTGTTATTGTTGTTGTTTTTTGAGACAAGATCTTGCTGTGTAGTCCAGCTGAGCCTTGAACTCACTATGTAGCCCTGGCTGGCCTTGAACTCACAGCAATCCTCCTGCCTCAGCCTCCTGTCCCAAATGCTGGGATTACAGGCATGCTCCACCAAGCCCAGCTCAATTTGAGCATTTATTTTGGTGGGTTTTTTTTTTTTTTTTTTTGAGACAGGGTGGCACTATGCATTTCAGGCTGAACTTGAGCTCACTTTGTAGCCCAGGCTAGCCTCAAACTCGAAATGATCCTCCTGCCTCAGCCTCCTGAGTGCCAGCTAATTTGAGCATTTTCAAAATGGTTTTGTTTTGTTTTGTTTTGTTTTTAAATTGAGGGCATGGCTGGTGTGGTAGTGCAACCTATAAACCCTGCACTTGGAAGGCTGAGACAGGAGGATTCTGAGGCCAGCCTGGTCTCATAAGAAGACGTTTGTCTCAAAAAACAAAAACATGACATCAAAAGAGTAGTGTGTGCATAGGAAAGTTACAGTAGTCCTGAGAGGTCTACGTTGAAAAGCAAGGCTCCTCAGCCAGGTTGTCACTGCCAGCCATTCCTGTGTTCTTTTATTACCCTGAAAAATGCAAAGCCAACACCTGCCACCATGACCCTCTCAAGAGAACAGTTCCCTGGCATGCAGCACACTCTAATCGTGAAGCTGTCAGCTTTGTCCATCACCCCGCAGGAAACATCCTGTCACCGCTCCACACCCTGCCCCCAAACTGGGTCCCCATGATCTGCATGGATCTGACCGCTGGAGACCTCTGGGCACAGTCATCAGCCTTTGCCCTTCTGAGACAGGCTTCTTCACTGTAGGACACCTCTACGTTATCACCTCACAGCATGTCATAGTTCCTTTTTTATTTGTTTTTGAGACAGGGTCTTGAGATGTTGCCCAGGCCAGACTTGAACTTGCCATCCTCCTGCCTCAGCTTCTTGAGTACCTGGTGTTACAGATGTGCACACTCAAGATGCCACACCTGGCAATTTTCTTCCTTTTAGACTGAGTACTACTCCACAGATGGGAAGGCCACCTTTTTAAATCCATTCACTGTCCACAGATGCTTCATTCTTTTGCTGCATGGAAGTTTTAAATTGGATGAAATCTGGTTGCTGTCTTTTTTTTTTTTTTTTAGTTGTTTGTGCTTTTGGTGCCATATCTAAGAAATCGCTGCCAAATTCAGTGTCACGAAGCTTTTGCTTATGTTTTCCTCTAAGTTTTACAGCTTAGCTCTTATGCTGGGTGTTTGATGTGTTTTGAGTTAATTTTTGTGTGGTATCTGGCAAAATCCAACTTCACTCTTCTGTGTGTGGATATCCAGTGTTCCCAAGGATGCCTCAGGCCTGCAAACAAGCCCCTGCCTTCCCTTCTACAGAGACCAGCTGCATCTGTCCCTGGGGCTCGGCCCAGGAACCTGGGAGGCACCACAGCTCCCCCGTGTCCTTCATGCTCAGCTGGGGTTGGATCCAGCCAGGTCTCCATTCAGTGGTGCAGCACGTGTCAGGACATCATGCTCCCCAGGGTGTCTGTGTGCTTGTGCTCTCATCTCTGGCTCTGTCTCTATCTCTGTCCCTTGGATGCCAAAGCCACAGGAGCAATAGTGACGGCCCCACCCCTCCTCCAAGCTCTGAGCCCCTTTTAAAAGTATGCTCAGAAAAAATTTCAGGCATACATAAAAGTAAACAGAAACCTAAAAAACTCCCCAACACCTCGCTACTGTCCACCCAGGGTGACCCTGCCTCTGCCCGCCCATCCAAGATGTCATCTGCTACTTCAGCTTGCACCTGTACCTCCACCTCAGGAAGCTCGGTCAAGCAGCCACAGCACAGACAGCAGCAAAGAATGTGCACCTCTGCGCACACTGGGCAGGCCAGGTGCTGACTGGAGCCCCTGAAGGGCTGAGCAAGTTGGCGTGGTGGTGCATGCCTGTGATCCCAGCACCAGGAGGCTGAGGCAGGAAGGTACCCATGCATTCAAGGCCAGCCAGGTCTACATAATGAGTTCAAAGCCAGCATGAACTGCATAATGAAGTTCCATCTCAAAAGTGGGGGTAGTGGCCCCTGCGCAGTGACCGTGTCAGTGCTAGAGGGAAGGGTTTCCCAGCCTGCTACCGTCCCTACTACGGGGTCCATGTCTTTCTTTTTTTTTAAGTGTGCAATATGAATTTATTGTATTTAATTGAGCTTCTCAAATTTTGAATACAAAAGATTACATCTTATGTAAAACTGGGGGGCTACCAGAAAAAGGATTATAATCAATGTTCTATCAAAATTAAAATTTTTTTCACAAATTGTTCTTCCAAAGAAATTATGGTAAAAAAAAAAGAAATTATGGTAAAAATATAAATAACTAACTGATACAATGAAACATACAGTTTCTGTGGCTTTTTGGACCATAGTATGAACTCTCAGATAATCCCAGAACAACAAAAGAAACCTGGCAAATTTCTGTATCACACAGACAAATTCAACAGTTTAAAACTAAAATCTATGTGGGGTACATGCAGTAGCATTTGCCTGTGATATCAGCTACTTGTGGTTTGGTTTTTTTTGTTTGTTTGGTTTTTTTTTTTTTTTTTTTTTTTTTTTTTTTGCTATTTTTGGTACTGGGAATCAAACTCAGGACCTTGCACTTGCCAAGCAGGCACTGTGCCACTGAGCTGCATCCCCGGCCCCAGTATCAGCTAAGTGGGAGAAAGGCTGGAGGATTGCAAGGCAGAGACCAGTCTGGGCAACATAACACAACCCTGTTTCAGAATTTAAAAAGAAAACAGAAAAGACAAGAAAGAAAGTACAAGAATAAAAAGTAAAAAAAAAAAAAAAAAAAAAAAAAGGATTTTGGTGTAGTTTAGTGGTGGCACACATGCCTACTATCCCCAAGACCTTGGGTTTAATCTCAAAAAAACCCCAAAGTCTATGTGAATAAACTAATAATCACTAAACTATACACACTTTCAAAGTTTACTGTGTTAAAATACACACAAAATTTACCATTTTATCCACTTTTAAGTGTACAGTTCAGTGGCATTAAGTAGCATTCATATGGTTCTTTGATTATCACCATCACTCATTTCCAGAATGATTTTTGGCGCAGGGGTACACACTTGTAATCCCAGCTCTGGGAGTCTGAGCAGGAGGACTGCAGATTTGAGCCCAGCCTTGGCAATTTAGCAATTTAGTGGGTCCACGCCTCAAAAAAAAAAGGGAAGTGGTGGGTTGGGTGGGTGGATGGGTGGGATGTAGCTCAGTTTGAAGGCCCTGGCCCCAATACCCAGTACTGCAAACAAAACAAAACACAAAAAAGTTAATTTTATGATATATAAGTTATATACTAATGAAGCTGTTATTAAAAATCTACCCAAACTAGCTGGGTGTGGTGGTGCACGCCTGTAATCCCAGCACTCAGGAGACTGAGGCAGGGGGATCGTTGTGAGTTCGAGACCAGCCTGGGCTACAAAGTGAGCTCAAGGCCAGCCTGAACTGCATAGCGAGACCCTGTCTCAAAAAAAGACAAAAATAAATAAATAAAAATAAAAATCTATGAAAACTAAAGTACATGAAGAAATGTTGAGGGACAATGGAAATGTTCTGTACCTTGTTTAGGTGACAGTATAGCTATTTATGAAAGCTCACAGTGAATACTTACAATGCATGCAGTTTATTATATACAAAACACATAAGATAATATAAAATACCAAAACTTACAACACTGGAAGATATATTCTTTCAGTTTCTACTGATGATTATATTCAAATAGTTCTAAAACATCTAAGTTCTTTAATGAAGATGGAAAATTAATGACAGATTTTTCTTTGGGTATTAAAACTTACTTTTCATAGTTTTACATTGTTATTTCTAATTTTACAAATATGGAAATGATTTTTTAAAATGGCAAGCTCTCATCTAGATTATAACAGGGCAAGCTGCATATTTAAGTATTATGTAATTGCTTATAGTTCAATATATGAACTGGGTGTGGTGGTACGTACTGGTAACCCCAGCACTGGGAGGCTGAGGCAGGAAGATCACTGTGAGTGTGAGGCCAGCTTGGGCTACATAGTGAAACCCTGTCTCCAAAAAAGGAATATGAACTACACTGATTCCAGCTGTTTCCACAATTATACAATATGAGATTCCTAAGATACAGTAACTGAAGCATATAAACATGAGTATTTTATAGTTTAAAGTTGACATTAAATCTTTTCTAACAACCAGCCTCCTACCCTTCTGATTCTTCAGTCTTTTTTCCACATTATGAGTAGTTCAGTTGTCACTTTCTGAAGGACAATTCCTATACTATGTCTTCCTGTTTTGGAAACTGCATCCTGACCAACCCGAGTCTCCTGAAAATCTCCCTGGGGTCAAGAAGTGAAGACCTGATGTATGAGGCTGCAGTCCCAGCAGGACCCTGGCAGCGGCCGTCAGGAGAGCGTGCGGAGGGCCCACAGGTGCGCCTGCCCTGCTCCTCAGCTCGTCCAACTTCTGCGCACACTCTGGGTGTTAATCCAGGCACAGGTCTTGGGACGCTTTCCCCGTTGATGGTCTGAGGGATTCCAATTAATGGGTAAAGGATCATGCCCAATCCTGTTTGATTGTTATTGTTCAGGAAACTGTCTTCTGAATATCCACGACGCATGTTTTGGAACTTTCTGAAGGGTCAGGGCACTGTAGCGGTTGTGTGTACAGATTCCAGACACGGACTGCCCGAAGTTGCACCCAGTTTTACTATTTAAGGTATTATCTGGTTCAGATAATATCTGTGCTTCAATTTTCTCAACTCCAAGGGGCCACAGAAGTCTTCCCTGCGCCTGTCACCCACAGCAGGCAGCGCCAGCCCGCTGTCTTGCCAAGGAGCCCCCACGACCCAGCCCGCAACCCCAACGTGAGGCGCGCATGGGCCGCCCACTCAGGCGTCCACTCTAAGGTGGCTGCCCGGCACCAGGGCCCATGTCTTTCATTCACCCCTGGACAACCCTGGCAGACCGACCCCAGGGTTCAAGCAGGAACTGGGGTGGGGGTCCGCCGGGCCTTGTGGAGGGAGGAGTCCACAGGTGGTTGTGCCATGGACACAGCTGTCAGGGCTCCAATGTGGCACCAGGGAGGCCCTGCTTCCTCTGGAGACCCAGCGTGGCTGACAGTGCTGCTCTGGAGTATCTGCTTCACATCAGCCACATGGACTGAGGGGGTTGGTCTCTCAGAGCCAGAACTGCAGAGTGGCACCTGGCAGATGCCCACACTGAGTGCAGGCACTGCGCCCCTAGAGTCACCTGGTCCGCCAGCCCCTGACTTCCAATCTTCCTGGGGTCTTCATGCTCACACCTTCCTGAGCACTGCTCCAGACCCAGCCTGCTGTCTCCCCACTGGACACCTGAGCCCTGGAGGAACCAGAGTCCACCTCTGCCGTCTGGGGCACTGGACACCACCCAGGAGAGCCCTCCAGCTGGTGCCACTGGGGGCCTGCTGGCCAGAGCCCTCCAGTCCTTGCCCACCCCATACAGACAAAGGAAGCAACTGTGTCCCCAGGCCTGCAGGACAGCGGACCCTGTCCTGGGTGTGGTGCCACCTCCTGCTGTGTGCTTACTGGCGGTCCCAGTCCTCAGCCCTGCAGCCTACGGCTCTAGGCCCTCACATGGTGAAGGGGACAGTGGGATGTGAATTTGGGCCCTGAGATTAGAGATGCCCGGGGCTCTCCCGGGTCCTAAGTGCATCCCAGGTGTCCCAAGGAGAAGGCCGGAGGGTAGTGGAGAAGCTTAGGGCACAGAGGCCGTAAGAGAACAGACACAGTCACTGCTTTGAGGACAGGGAGGGGACACACTAGTCGTGTGGCACCCTAGAAGCTGAGAAGGTGAAGATGGCCCTGCGCGAGCCCCAGCGAGACGCTGTGAGTGCTGGAGTCCTGCCCTATAGGATAGTGAGGCTTTAAGCTAGGATCTGTGGAGATTTGGGTTATAGCCAGCAGCCACAGGGGACTGACAGGGGGTCCTCTGTCCCCACAAGTGCTGTCTCAGTCCCTGAACTCAATAGGGTCTCTGAAGCACCCCTCTGGCTTGGGCCACTAGGCCCCACGAGTCCCTTCACCTCATCATTCCTGGGGACCACGGCACCCATGTGCACAGCCACTACTCTGATGCAGAGCTCCTCAGATGGGTCTCCTGCTCCCTGCCAGGCCCCCGGGGCCCCTCAAGCCACAAGGAAGCTGCCTGGGTTTGTCTTAGTAGAACAAGCTGCTTCCCCAACAGGAAGAAGACAGGTGCAGTGGAGCACTGGCTTCTTCCAGATGCTGTTCTGGGGCTTCCTGCTAGCAGACTCCGATAGGCAGAAGAGCAGGTGGCTGGAGCAGGGGTACCCAGCCCATGAGCCCAGGCCTCCTCCCCATCTCTGCCTGGGCTGCTGCTGTCACCAAAAGCTGTGACTTGTCCTCATTATCCACACAGCCATAGACAAGAAGGAAGAGCGGTCAGGAGTGGCCCCAGCTGCAGGAGAAAGAGGCCCACCTGCCTGCTGGTTGGGGTGGGGAGGGGTAGGGTGGGTGGTTTCTCTGGCCATGGGTGACCAGATCAAGGCCGGGAAGCACAGCTGCCTACAGGTTCCAGGAGCGGCAGCTAGTCTCTATGTGCACCATGTGTCCCAACTTATGATGTCCCTGCCTTGAAGCTGTGGCAGCTCAGAACTTAGATTTTTTTAAAATGAATTTTACTGGTATTCTTGATTTACATAATGGTCACATTCATCATAGGGAATTTGTACCTGTATGTATCTTGATTCTTTTTTTCCCATTCTCTTCCCCTCCCTTCAACCCGTCTTCCCCTCATTGACAAAAGCTGTTTCCATTTTTTCTTTTATTCTCTTCTTTCTTCTTCCTTCCCTTCCCTCACCCCCTCCATTGTTTCCCTTCCCACTTGAATATTTTCTTCCTACTTCCCAATATCTGTCATCCAATTTGGCCCTTATTTATGCTTTTGGTTTCTCTCACAAGAGAAACAAGCAGTATTTAAACATCTGTATCTGATTTATTTTCACTTAAAGTGTGGTCTCAAGGTACATCCATTTGCCTAAAAATGTCTCAAATTTCTTCTTCCTTATGGCAGAGTAGTAGTACCCCATTGTAGTATCCCCCTTTTTTGGAGACAGTGTCTCATTACGTAATCCAGGCTGGCTTTAAACTCACTGTGTACCCCAGGCTGGCCACTAACTCATGGTGAGTCTCCTGCCTCAGCCTCCCAAGTGCTGGGATTATAGGTGTGCACCACCACGCCCGGCTCTGGTTGATTTCTTGATGATGATCATTCTTCCTAGAGTGAGATAGGTTTAATTTGCATCTCTTGAATGACCAGTGATGTTGAACATTTTTCATATATTTATCTACTGTTTGCACTTCTTCATCTGAACTGTGTCTATTCATTTCAGATAGCCATTTCTGGATTGGTGGGGGAGGTCCTGATTTTTTGAGTTCTTTATATAATCTAGATATTAGTCCTTTGAAGAATAGCTGGTAAAATTTTTTCCCATTCTGTGGGCTGTTTCTTTTGCTGTGTTTGTAATATGAGAGCCCAGTTGTTGATTCTTTGTAATATTTCCTGTGTGATCAGGGTTTTATTCATAAAATCTTTGCCTACACCTATGTTTTCAAGAGTTTTACCTATTTCATCTTCCAACAGATCAAGTGTTTCTGTTCTAATATTTAGATCTTTGTGGATTTTTTTGTTTTTGTTTTTTATTTAGATCTTTGATCCATTTCAGTTTTAGTTTAGTGCATGGTAAGAGTTATGGGTCTAGGTTTAATCTTCAGCATGTGACAGCCAGTTTCCTCAGCACCACTGATTAAAGAGACCATCTTTCTTCCAGGTAAGGTGTTTGGCCCCACTGTCAAAGCAGAAGAGGCTGAATGCATTTGGAGTTGTTTCTGCATCTTTGGTTCCGTTGATCCTCAGGTCTGTTTTTTGGCTTTTGGTTTTTTGTGGCTTTGTTTTGTTAGTACCATGCTGCTTTTAACACACTAGCTTTGCAGTGTAATTTTAAGTCTGAGATTGTGAGGCCTCCTGCCTTGCCTTTGTTGCCCAGAACTGCTTTTGCTATTCTAGGTCTTTTCTGGTTCCAAATGGATTTTAGGACTGTTTTCTCCAGGTTTGTGTTCTTTTTTTTTTGGAGACAGGGTCTCGCTATGCAGCTCAGGCTGGCCCTGAGCTCACTTTGTAACCCAGGCTGGTCCCGAACTCGCAACGATCCTCCTGCCTCAGCCTCCCGAGTGCTGGGATTACAGGCGTGCACCACCATGCCCGGCTTGTTTTCTCTAGTTCTATGAGGTATGCTGCTGGTATTTTGATTGGGACTGCATTAAACCTGTATAAAAGTTTTGCTAGTATGGCCATTTTCACTGTTGGTTCTGCTTATCCAAGAGTTAGCTACGGACCTATGAGGCCTACTATGTGACATCCAGGGCTGGGCCGTGAAAAGCCGGGCACGCGGTCTGGCAGGGGAACGTGGGCCGGGGAAGAACCCAGGAGCCCGGCTCGGCCCAGGCGTCTGGAGACCTCGCGGGCCGGGACAGCCGCGACAGCCGCGCGGCGCAGCGTCCGCCCGCAGGC